AGGATAGGCGTTCTAGAACTTGAGTATGCGTGTTGATCTTCTATAACGTCTGCTTATTTGTTTGCGAGAGCAGTGGCAGTGTGAGAGCCATCACCTTCACTCCCCGGTGCCCAGAGCAGGGCTGCAGCCGGGAGCCTGGCACTTGCAGAGCTTCACTCCCCGGTGGCCACAGGGCTGCAGCCGGGAGCCTGGCACTTGCAGAGCTTCACGCCCCGGTGCCCACAGGGCTGCAGCTGGGAGCCTGGCACTTGCAGAGCTTCACTCCCCGGTGCCCACAGGGCTGCAGCCGGGAGCCTGGCACTTGCAGAGCTTCACTCCCCGGTGCCCACAGGGCTGCAGCCGGGAGCCTGGCACTTACAGAGCTTCACTCCCCCGGTGCCCACAGGGCTGCAGCCGGGAGCCTGGCACTTGCAGAGCTTCACTCCCCGGTGCCCAGAGCAGGGCTGCAGCCATGAGCCTGGCACTTGCAGATCTCTCACTGTGCCACAGTGCCATGCCCTAATGTAATGCTTTGTATCTATACTCATATTTGTGAACAATTCCCTAACATGAAAGCAGAAAGCATGAACCGTTGTTAAAACTCGGAAAAGATAACCCAGCTAACAGCAGCTGCTCTCCCAGGCGCATTAACTGGGAGCTGGATCAGAAGTAGAGCAGTGGGGATTTGAACCAGTTCTCCTATGGGATGCTGACACTGTAGGCAGCTGTTTAACCTGGTGTACCACAAGGTAGCACCAAAACTTTACTTCTTGGAAATTAAGCTATTGTCTAAAGAGCTGTGAGTTCAAAGAAACAAGTATCAGTGAATTCTGAGACATTCAAAGTGGAAACATTGTGTGTCAAAAGTTGTCACGTAGTGAAGAGCTGTGCTTAAGGGAGAGGTAGCCTTAGATTCCCATGTAGACAGGGAGATTGGTGAGTTTACTTAATGCTGCATGAGCAAGGTCACCAGGTCTTCGTGTTTATGTGGACACGGGCTACACTGTAAGGCCTTCATTCCCGGCGGGGTCTGGTTAGCATCTTCCAGGAGAGATGAAGTCTCTGAGGGAACCTAGCTGCATGGCGTGTGTGTGTGTGTGTGTGTGTGTGTGTGTGGTGTGGTGTGCTGCCCAGGTGCCCTGGAAGCCTGGCACACAGGGTCTGAACCAGGGACTGCTTCTTTGGCAATGAGATCCTGTGGTGAAAGCAGCCTAGTGCCAGGACACCTGTGGGCACAGGTCAGTAGTGATGGTGCTGCTGCTCAGGTGCTGACCTGGTGCCTGGGGGCACACTGGTGGCAAGCGGAGAGAGCCACCCCGTCTGGCTGTGGGGGCTTGCATGGCCAGTCAGCCAGCCACCTAACTAAAGTGGCTTTGTATGTGTTTGTGGATGGGATGCTCTTGGCCAGTGATGTTCTAAACTGAGATGTTGTCACAATGACCCTGCTGTGTTTGGGTGAAGTCGAGTGGACATTGTTCAGCTGCAGGTGGAGGATGTCATTGCTTAGTTGAAGGGGAGGCTGGGCAACCCATGTCACGGCCACGGTTCCCAATGTTGATTCCTGCTGGTGCCACTGCCTCTTCTAGGTCTTCCCTTCCTTCTCATTGCCATCAGATGGAGGTTGCAGATGGTCATTCCACCTGGCTGAAGGCACATGGCTAGTGGAGAGAGGGCACTGAGTTTTAGGAATAGGGAAGGAAGGAAGGAGAGTGTTCGAGGTTGAGGCTCACAAGAAACCTCTGACATCCAAGGAGGCCAGGCTAAGTACGAGTCCAGCTTCCTGCTAATGTGCACCTACCGAGGCAGGAGGTGATGTCCTGGCACCTTCAGAAACAGGCAGGGGTGATGTTCTGGCATCTTCAGGGGCAGAGGTGATGTTTTGAGGTCCCTGCTAGCTGTCTGGGAGCGCTAGAATGTACTCCAACTTTGCAGGCATTTGGGAAGTGAACTAGATGATGGGTTTTTTTCTTTTATTTGTCTCTGGCTTTCAAATTAAAAAATGCTGCTCTATCTACTTAATATGTTTGATATCAGCACACATGATTTACCAATCTGAAACCACATGAAGTCTAGTGGGTGAGACACAAACAAGTGCTGTTGTCAACACAGTTCGCAATGCTGTGGCAGGATGAAGCCACGTGGACGGCCCGCCCTCTTGCACTCTGCATCTCCGTCCTTTCGTTAATCAACCCTGCGTTGCACAGGAGCCTGGTTAAGATTCATCCTTCCGTGTAAATGATGAGCTCAGGCCTTTTTTGTTTAATTTGTTTTAAAAGCTCTTTTCTCCTGCATGTGCTTCTTGATCAGCTATTGCTTTAGTGTCAACCATGGCCCTGGCCTCTCGGAAGCACTTTGATCATATTCATGTTCAGGGGGGGCCTACAATGAAAAGCCTTCATAGGGGACCAGGCTTCTCATTAGTCCCACACAGCGGTGAGCCGGTGCGAGGGACACAGGCAGCTCCTAGCGGGAGCCAGGCGTTTAAAAGGCTAAATGAGCACACTTTTCATGCTCGATCGGCGTTTGCTGCATGCAACTGTGCCAGGCCCCAGGGTGACACCTCTGACAGTGTTGCGGCAATAAAATCAAGGGTTAAAACTGGAGGGCGCTAGTGCCCTTTCTTCGCGGGAGCAAGGCGCTTAACCTCTGGTCACGCCTGTGTTTGTCTTTTGATGTTAAGGTATAGAGTCTTTATTTGATGGCATTCTCGGGCCTGTTGGGGTTTGCTTGATGGGGAGTCACTGAGGCTCATCTTGTGTTTGGAGCTGGGTTCAATATGTCGCTAATGTTCAGAAAATGCTTGTGCTGATTGCAGCTATTCAGGGCTCTGCAGAGGCAGTGGAGGCGAGCCGGAAAGCCAGCTGGTCCTGCGGCTCCATGTCGTGCAGCGCTGTCTATTGAGGGTCGGTATAGATGCAGCACTCTGCACCAGCGCTCCCGGGCGGTCCCTTGGACCCTTCAGATCTCGGTCCTGGTCCAGGGGCTCCTCAGGGCCCCTGACTGTTGTTTCTGATCTCATCTTCTCGGAGACAACTCTCCTTCCTTCTCAGCACGTTGGACTTGCTTCCTGTTTACGCACCAGGTGGTGTTCAGCCCACAGAGGTTTGGTGCACGTGTTCTCCAAGCCAGGCACTGTGGCTGGGGAATGGCAGTCCAGCCCACTTCCTGTCCTTGTGGAACAGTTTCTCCTTGGGTGGAGATGGAACCCCAGAGGGTAACTCCATCACCCGTGCCTAAGCTGTGTGATTTTGAGTACCACTGGAGCCCACACAGCCGTCTTGTATCTCCGTGTTAATGGGGATTTTAGAGCATCATGGGATGATCCCTGTCTCCTTACCTTTTTGGCAGTTATAGACTGTGTGCACTAAGATGTCAGATTTTAGGGGTAAAACGGATCTCCCTTTGGCTGCACGATCCTTTTCACTCAAGTTCATCAATGACGATGGCAGTGGAAACCCAGGTGAACACATCTGCTGCTGGTGACCCTAGCTCCAGCAGCCTGGGAGACTTGGCGTCGTGTGGACTGCCCAGACTCAGGGCAGCTCGGGAGCTGAGGTCTCTTACTCCCTAGAGTTTGACATGCTGGAACAAACTCGGATGACACCATACACCCTCGGTAGGAAGCAGTAGCCCCTGGTCTACCCCACCTGGGGCCCAACACCCAAGTGGACTGGAGGAACAGCCAAGCCCTCTGCCCTCCCAGACTTTGCAGTTGGCCACTCTGACATGTGGGGCAGCCACGCTGTAGGACTCAGCAGAGCAAGGAGCTGGGTGAGGCCGCAGGAGTGTCCCCTGCCTGCCGCTGGCCTGCCTGGGGGCCGGCTCTTCTCTTCCTCAGCCCATGCTCAGCCGCTTGACCCCTTGGGACTTTCAGCTCATTAGACTGAGAGCTGATGCCACAACCTAGAATAAAATCAATGCTGGAATGAAGTTCTTCTCGGGGGAAGATGGGTAAAAATTAAAAAGCAGACTTTCCCTAGGGGCCAACTGAGCAAGCCCTCTAAACGCGCATGGGATCAGGCTAATTACTGAATTTTCACAGTTTTCTGAGTGTTGTCACATAGTCTGGTCTAATGAGTTGAAAACCGCAGGATGTAAACTGTGTGCCGGGCCATGAAAGCAGTCTGGTGGGTCTCTGCTGCAACCGCAGAGAAAGTGTGAACCAGGAAATACTGTGCAAGATAAACAATAAACCTTGCCTTGTTGGCTGGGAATCGGCAAAGTTTGAAAAGCACAACCCAAGCCCGGCGCTGTAACCTAGCAGCTGAAGTCCTCACCTTGCACCAGCAGGGATCCCATATGGGCACTGGTTCTAATCCTGGCAGCTCCACTTCCCATCCAGCTTCCTGCTGGTGGGAAAGCAGTCAAGGATGACCCAAAGCCTTGGGATCCTGCAACCACGTGGGAGACCCAGAAGAGGTTCTGGGCTCCTGACTTTGGATCGGCACAGCTCTGGCTATTGCGGATACTTGGGGAGTGAACAGTGGAGGGAAGATCTTCTCTGTCTTTCTTCATCCTCTCTGTATATCTGACTTTCCAATCAAAATGAAATGAAAAGCGCAACCCAGTGTGTGGTCACCTGGCACCAGTGGTGGACCAGCTATAGGTGGGGCAGCTGAAAGGCCCCTGGCTGCTGCTTCCTCCTCGTTCTTAGGAGAAACGCTGTGATCAACTGTAGAGCCTCTTCATTTGTTACTGACCAAGGGGAGTGGAGCCTTCCTCAAGCGTGGCTGGGGCCGGTGTTTCTAACCCAGCCACTTTTCCAGCGCAGCTGCTATCTGCAATCAGGCATTTCCCAATAAATACATAGAAAATCCTGCTGGAAATTCCCAGCATCCACCATCCAGCTCTAACAGATTCCCCCAGGCAGGATGGATCAGCCACAAAGCTCTATCCTGGCCTAAAAGCCCACATGCAACTGAACTCCATCCTAACTGTAGAAATCAAACCTTGTCAAAACAGTTGCTGAAACAATTTATTTCTATTTCTGCCAGCCTTAGTGTTTTTCCTTCATTTTACAGGAGGAAGAGATTGGCATCCAGACACAATAAGCAAGGCAGGCGAGGCAACTGGGCGCCCCAGCCTTGGCCCCAAGGAGGACCAGGACCTGCCAGATCTCCTAGCCAACTCTGGGAGAGTCCTCCTTTTATACCATTGCACCCATGGGTGCCACAGACTGCTGGCTCACAGCTCACCAGCTCTGGGATATTCCCCTGTGCCATGGCTTGCTGGCGCCAAGAAGGGAAACAGGGTAAGTCCCACACGTGCCCTAACACTGCACATTTCAAGTCATGGCTCCCTGACCAGCCATGGAGGTCACTTTCCAAGAATTCTGGTGCTAGCCCTCTGCTCTCTACCCAGCCACCAGGGAGAAGAGCTGGGTCATTTCATTGAAAAAGGATTCTAGGCAAATGATGGTTTCTGGATCATTAGCTTGTTGACCTTGGGGCCTCATGATTTTGTTCTGGAACGTGCAGGGGTCTGACAATCAGGATTACTGACTAGGCTCAGAGCTGTGCCGTTGAAGAAAGGTGCAGGCTGCAGTGAAATGAGAACCAGGCCAGCGCAGGGGGCGGCTGTCCACTCGCTAGGGTGTGGAGTGTGCCTGCAGGCACAGGGCATATCCGGGCCAGCAGCAGCCCTGGGCATCAGGGAGGGGCAGTTTAGCTAGCTGCCCCTGTGTTTGGAATTGTCTCTCATGCAGATTCCAAATACCCCCCTCCCCCGTAAGAAGGAAGAGAGAGTGGACGAGGAGGACAAAGCTTTGTTCTTGGGGCTGCTAAGAACATAGGGATTACACAGAAGAAAACAGATGGCTGTGTGGGTCAGACTTTGAACAAGGGAAGAAAGGAAAAGGCAGACATGAAGATGAGGGCTGAAGGGCAGAAAACCAACATCAGATTCCTATGAAAGACTTGTTGATCCATGGTCAGAAGTTTGGAGATGCTTCATGTGACACCAACAATTGCCACTTGCAAGAAATTCTGTCAGAGCCGTTGCTTTACCCAGGTCTGTGAGCACCGAATTCCGGTGGTGCCAAAATGCAGTGGGAATTCTCAGTGCTGACCCGTGTGCTGAGTTTGTCCTCTTGCTAAAGCCGCTGCATCCAAAGACCGTGCTTGCCCAGCCTGGTCCCCAGCTGGCACTTAAAGGTCACGCACTGTGGGAACAGTGGAAATCTTGGGCTTGGAGAGCAGAACTCTCAGCTCGCTGGGTGCTGATCCGTTGTTCTGTAGCGGAAGGCGGAGCAGGAGTGGAGCTTGGGAGCATGTGGATGCAGCGGAACTGTGCCTGTAACTTTGACGGGAGAAGGAGGAATGCTCAGTTGGCTAACTTCTGCCTGGATGTTTGCGTGAGGTGTGAAGAGTCTGGTCGTTCCTAGCGAGCAGCTCAATGTGGGTGAGGCATTTGTGAGCTCTTTCCTATTGAGACCAAGTGACAGTGTCCCTATATCTCTCCCAATAGCACCCCTTGGATATACTATCACACATTGGGAAGCTGCAATTCCAGACATCCATTCATTTGGCTGCCAGTGAGTCTTGGTCCTAGAAAGGGTTCATGAAAACTTACCGACTGTGTTTAAGAACAGCATGTTATGGCCTGCAAAGTGCTGGGACCATGACCTAACATTTACATCTGCAAGTCAATGTCTTCATTAGTTAGGGAGGTTGATGCCTGCAAGCAGCGAAACACTCAACCAGCAACGTGAATATTGATAGTTAATGTTTATTGATCATTTCTATGTGACCTAGCGAATGTTTTGTTGTCACTGTCACCCTAAGAGGTAAGTGTTAACTGGTATCTTTTAGGTTGAGTAATTTGCTCAAGGTCACATAGCTGTCGGTTGCAGAGCTGGGAACTGAAGCATCTTAAATAATAGAAATTTCACAGGAGGAGTCTGCTTGATTCATTCAGGGACTCCACCAGGTGAGGATGTGGGCTCAGCACATCTGATACTCCCCTTTGTCCTTTCTGCATGCTCGCAGCAGATCAGCTCTGACTCTCAGCATCACAGCCTCACGCAGCTGTGTCACAAGCAGCTGTCTGGGGAAGCTGGAAGAATGTGCCCCTCAGAGATAGAAGAATTAGAATGATGTGATAGTTCCTCCCAAAGAAGTGCTCCCAACTGTATGCTTATTAAAAACAGGGCTAGCTGGGACTGCAGCTGGCCACCTGTGCAGGCCCAGGTACTACATGGCTGAAGGGAGTTCTAGAAGCATTGCAGGGCTGCCTAGCAAGGTCCCTCATCCTGCAAGATGGCTAATCCTCCCTTCCAGGTATGCACTTCTGTGGGAGACTGAGAGCCGGTGGCCTCCGAGGCTCCTGAGCATGTGCCCCTGGGGCATCCCTCGAGTGGTGTGGTGTCCTTCCAACCACCATGCTCTGGAGTTGCCTCCTCTATATTGTAGAATGAAATCCCCAAGCTGCGTGCCTGGTCGCTAATGCTCTCCGTAACATTAGCTAGAATGGGGGTAATGTATTAGTCTGCACATTTTGAAGAGTATTAACATGATGTTGCATTTAAACAGTATTAACTTAAAATAAAAGACAAAAGAATCCCTGGGAAGCCGTTTAGCCTTCCTGGGGTTGCTCGATGAGGCCCCTGACAGAAACCCCCTTCCAGGCAGCACTGCACAATGCATTTCTCCTCTTGCGTGGTGCCACGCGACAGCTCAGCTCAGTATTTTCCTGTTCTCCCTCACAGTGTTGTGCAAGCTCAGCTCATGCTGCCTTCTGGCTTCTTCTTCGCCTTCGGCTCTCTCCCCCACTCTTAGTCTGTGCCTCTTGTCGTGAACAAATGGTTGGTTTGAGATTCTTTCAGCTTTCCCGGTGAGCACAGTGCAGAGCCTGCACGGCTGTCTCTCGGGGCCCTGAGAGAGATCCTCCTGCTTGCTATGTTGCCAGTCGTTGCCATGGAGGTACAGTTCTAGCATCCCAGGGCCCAAATCATCCACTTTGCCACTCAGCTTGTCAAACGCGTCTTACCCTGGTTGAATTCTGTCATTTACTTTCTCTTAATGTTCTCATCAACTCAATGGGTGTTACGATTGAATATTCCTTGTAAGTTAGTTGTGAGGGCTAACACATTGGTACGTATAAGACACGGTACGTAAAGAACGGCCCCGGGGTGAGAAACAAGCATTCAAGAACAGACCTGGCAACGGTGCTTGCTACAAAACGTTGGGAGCTCAGGCCTCAGGCTGGCAGCTTTGGGAGACGTTTGCACACGTCTTGACTTCGTGGTTCCTGCTGTGCATACAGTTTCCATCCGGCTGATTTAATAGCTCTGCTGTGTGCAGAGTCCATTTGATTGCAAAGCACGAGATTTTCTTTCCTTTTTTATGACTGATTAGTATTCCACAGTGTTTTCTTTCTCCAGCTATAGTTGGATGGACAGATCAACTGATTCTATGTGTTAGCTGCTGAGAGTTGACTAGCCATAAACATGGGGGTTGACGTAACTCTTCTACATACTGTTTTTATTTCGTTTGGGTAAATTTCCAGGAAAACTGGGTCATAGAGTAAATCTATTTTCCGATTTCTGAAGAATCTCTGTAATGGTTGCTCTAACTTACATCCCACCAACGGTGGACTAGGGCACCTTTTTCTCCTTCATTGTTTTTTGATTTCCGAATGATTCTGTTCTAACTGCACTGAGGGAAACCCTCATTGTGGTTTGCATCTGCAATTCCCTGATGGGTGGTTATCCTAAGCATTTTTTTATGCGTGTGCTGGCCATTTTGTTCCCACTTGCTATAGCATTGATTCCGCTTACCCCTTTGTTCCTTCAGTTAGCACCTACTTCCTGTCTCAGTGCTGAGGACACAGAGGTGGCTAGAATGTGGTCAACTCCCCCACTCCCTACAAGGAGTGCCAAACTCAGTGGGGAACATGCCTAAAAAAATGGGGTGTCATTGGGTAAGCAGTTTACCACAGCTGTGCGCTGTATTTCATGGACCAGGAAGGAGAAAGCTTTTGTGTCTTCTTGCAGAGGAGCTTCCAGACCAACCTCTGTAGACAGAGTAAGGCATGGTGTAGACTCACGGGAAAGCTGAGGAAAAGCCTGCGGCCTTCCGGGCTCTGCGGCAAGCTGCGGCTGATCATCTGCCCCTCACACAGCCGCTGTCTTCCCATGTAGACAGCTTCAAGTCCTTCAGCCACTGTGCCAGTGGACAGTGGAACAATTTCATGCTCATTATATTCTTATGATGTGTTTGCATCATGAAACTTTGATAACATCTGATTGGGCAAAGTTTAAATCTTGAAGAGACTGACATACCCAGCTAAGGTGCTAGTTTTCATTCTCAAAGATGGAGAAGTGCTTATGGAATGGTTGGGTATGGTTTATGGAGGGCAGGATACTTTGGCGATAAGAATAGTAGTCGGGAAACATAATAGATGGGTCTATTAGGACAAACTGAAATACTCATAAAGATGATGACTTGCAAAATATTTTGGAGTAGAAAGAGACTATGTTGGAAACGCACAAATACCCATTAATAAGCAATGACTGGTGGACATAACAAGATATAATCGTATGAAAGAATCTTATACAATAGGTAAAAATGGCTAGACACTCTCTATGTGACAGTGAGTAAACCTCAAAACTAAAGAATATGGCAAGCCGAAGCTGGAGCTGCAGAGTGGAGTGTGCTCATGTAACACGAAATACGTGTGTAGGCATCCGTGTTTGTGTAGTGTCAAACACAAACACGGTGGGCAGCACACCAGTCTCTTGATAATGAAGACGCTAACAGGGAGGGGGCTGTGCCAGCAGCATTCACAGGCTCTGCTCTTTCTCTAGGAATTAACCACATGTTTGGAACAAGTATGATGAGCTGATGTGTATTAAATTGAGCTCTGTGTGCCCGATGCCGTTGTGTTGATGCCTTTCTCTGTTTGCAAATCTTCGCCCTGAGAGAAGCCGGCCGTCACAGCAGCTCTGTGATGTGGGTGGTGCTGTTGTTTCCATTTTAAAGGCGGAGCCAGAGTGGCTGGCTATGGTGGTCAGTGTCACCTGCTGGGCAGCAGCCGAGTGGGAACTGAAGCCGTACTGTGTCTCTGCCATGATAGCCATCTGCTTCTCTTACCAAGAGCCTTACCATTTGTATTGTAAGAGAGTTGAATCAGAACTTTGGAAAGAATATGGGAAGAAGCTGAATTTTCGCCCTCATCTCACATCCCTACGCACATGTTATTTCACACACGTGGGTTTTTTTTTTTTTTAAAGATTTATTTTTATTATTTTTT